CCTCCCTTAAGATCAACATCCTTATTTTGGGATTAATCTTTCTGTCACTACTTTATACCTGGCCCCCCATGTCCTGTGTCCCTTCCAATCCTTGTCCTCTCCAAATCTCTCTCTACTCTCCCTACCTCAATCCAAGCTGTCCTTCAGCAAGCTGTGATAAGCCTGGAGAAAGGGGCATACTGCTGGGTTTAGCACCCTGAGAACCAGACGGATTTTCCAGTCCTAACCTGGTGATCGCAACTCTGAGGCCCCAATCTTGTTAGGCAGGAAAATAGATATGAGCAGGGTGGAAAGAGAATAAAGCGCACTAGGAAGGACTCAAAGAGTTAACCAGTTAAAAATAGAAAGCTCAGAAGGCCAGGAGCAATTTGACCTAGAATGTTGAATACTCCCCAGATAAAGAAAAGTATCTCAGCATAGCCTATGTTTTCACTGTGTCAATTAGAATATACCATTGTAAGATTTACTTTAGCTTGCTCAAAGGCCCAGATTATTTAGAAAGAAGTCTATCTTAAAGCTAACATTGCATTTTAACCAAACAGACAGTGGCTCAGCCCATCTTGAAGGCAGGGCAGACAGTCTTAATTGATATGCTTCCAGACAGAAGCTGATATCCTGGAAAAGAATCAAAGCAGTATATTTCTTGTATTAAGTTTTAAAAAAAGAAGAAACTTAATGTCTTAACAAAGATGAACATTCTAGGACAATTTGGCCAGTCTGCACCTGGCCCTTTGTCACATTCCTGAAAATCTTCAACTGCCTATAAAACCCCAGACCCTAAACTTTAGAGGCGCCCTCTCTCTGAGGTCGCTGCACTTTCTAAGTGCATAGCCTTTTCCCAATCTTTCAGCACCTCTTCTTTGAGGTAGCCTGTACTCCCCTTTCTCCAAGTGTGCACCTTCTTGCTTTAAATAAACTTCTCATTGCTCAACTTATAATGTTTTGTCTCTGCACTTTTCCAGCAGTAAGTGTCTTTGTTACTTTTTTTGTCATTCTAGTTCTCCAAATTTAAGCTCAAACCTTTCTCCTTCTGTGCTATTTCAGATAAGTAAGGAGGGGCTGCTTAGAACTCAGATCTGGGCTTGCAAATTATCATCGCCTGGGTGCTCCAGACAGACTGCAGGTTACTGTCATGCTCTTTAGTGGCCTGCCTGAAAGTTTCCTTTCTTTGTCTCTAGGAAGTTCGCAGAACATATTCTCACTCCATCCAGTGCTCTGGGGCTCTCCCAAATCCTGGGATGGTAGGGACTCAGTTCCCAAGTGGACACTGGACACCAGGTGACACTGGCTTAAGGAGTTAGCAGGGGATGTGCCCCATGTTGAGTAGCAGTTCAATGAACTTCCTTTATTATTCTAATCTGTCATTCCCTGACACTCGCTTTAATAAATTCCTTCTCACTTTGTACTCTGACTTCCCTGCATCTCTGAACCAACCTCTCCCCCCAACAATCTGGTTTTAAACAGATTGTCATGACCCAATAATCATCACACACCATACAGCACCATAAATTCCAAAGGGATAAGAGATTTCAAATGTTAAAAAGTCAGCTACAGACTCCAGTTTGAAAAAGACAGGTGCACCCCTATGTTTATCGCAGCACTGTTTACAATAGCCGGGAAATGGAAGCAACCTAGGTGACCATCGGTGGATGAATGGATGAAGAAGATGTGGTACATATATGCAATGGAACATTACTCAGCCATAAGAAGGAGACAGATCCTACCATTTGCAACAACATGGATGGAACTGGAGGGTGTTATGCTCAGTGAAGTAAGCCAGGCAGAGAGGGACAGGTGCCAAATGATTTCACTCATATGTGGAGTATAGGAACGGGGGAAGGCTGAAGGAACAAAGCAGCAGCAGAATCACAGAACCCAAGAATGGACTAACGGTTACCAAAGGGAAAGGGACTGGGGAGCATGGGTGGGAAGGAAGGGATAAGGGCGGGGAAAAAGAAAGGGGGCCTTACGATTAGCATGTATAATGGGGGGTGTGGCATAGGGAGGGATGTGCAGCAAGAGAAGATAAGTAGTGAGTCTACAGCATCTTGCTGTGCTGGTGGACAGTGACTGTAATGGGGTTTGTGGTGGGGGGGGACTTGGTGAAGGGGGGAGTCTAGTAACCATAATGTTCTTCATGTAATTGTAGATTAATGATAATAAAATGAAAAAAAAAAAGGTCAGCTACAGGAATGAAGGGATGCATAATGGCAGAGTAGGAATCTCTAGGGGGCAGTCTCTTCACCAAAACAACCAGTGAGCTGGAAAGAGCAATTGGCAGTACCTGTGTCAACTTGAACCTGATTGAACCCTTATGACAATCAGGTGAGTGCTTGATGAAGGGCGAGAATGCTGACCTTCATACGAGAACACCATACATGAGCTAGCTCCTTGCAACACTGTAGGAAGAGCAGCCACATTCCTGGAGTGCCTGGCTGGTAGCGGAGATCCCTGCCCTCCAGAATGGGGGGTTGTGCATTTTGGTTGGTCTGGTCATGCCCTGAGAGACAGGTGCATATGCTTGCTTTGGTTTTGGCCTTCTTGGGATTCTGTAGCAGCAAATATCAGAATATTTAAAGGGACAACCATTTTTGCAGAAAGAGGGTAGAGAAACCTTTGTCAGATCCCTGGTTGACTGCAGATAGACTTCAGGGCCCACACACAACAAAGAATACTCAATTGGCAAAATTTGTTTGGAAGAGTCAAAATGGATGACTGCAGCTCTAACAAGTAAATATCTGTGATCCCTGTGCACTGCAAGAATCAGATTTCCAGAGATACCTCATCATAATCCTCAGACTGTCCAGTTCACAATAAAAAATTACAAAGCATACAAAGAAATGGAAAAGTATGGCCTATTCATAGGAAAAAAAGAATTTGATAAAAACCATCCTTAAGGAAGCCCACACAGTAGAAACATCAAGACATTTTGATGAAGACATTAAATTAACTGTCTTACATATGTTCATAGAGCTGAAGGAAAACATGAGCAAAGAACAAAGGGAAATCTGGAAATGATGTATGAACTAAATGACACTATCAGTAAAGAGATGCAAATTATAAGAAAGAACGCAAACAAATAATCCAGAGCCAAAAATACAATAATTTAAGTGAAAATATTCACTGGGAGAATTCAACAAATTTGGGAAGGCAGAAGAAAGTATACTTGAAGAAAAAGCAATTGAAATTATTGAGTCTGGCTTGAATGTAAGACCTGAAACTGTGAAACTCCTAGAAGAAAATAGGCAGTAAGCTCTTTGACATCAATATAAGAAATGTTTTTTTTGGACCAGTCTTAGACAAAGGAAAAAAAACTAAAATAAACAAATGATATTACATCAAAGTAGAAAGGTTTTGTACAATGAAGGAAACCATCAACAAAATGAAAGGCAGCCTGCTGAATCAGAGAAGATATTTACAAATCATACATCCAATAAGGGGCTAATACCTAAAATACATAAAGAACGTACACAATATTTAAAAAAACTGATTAAAAAAATGGTCTTGAGGACTTGAGGCCAAAGGACTTGAATAGACATTTTTCCAAAGACATACAGATGGTCAACAGGCACACTGAAAGAGACTCAACATCACTAATCATCAGGGAAATGCAAACCAAAGCCACAGTGAGATATCTCCTCACACCGGTTAGGATGGCTACTATCAACAAAACAGACATAACAAATGTTGGGAAGGATGTGGAGGAAGAGGAACCCTTTTACATTGCTGCTGAGAATATAAATTGGTACAGCCATTATGAAAAACACTATGGAGTCTCCTCAAAAAACTAAAAAAAAAAATACCGTATGATCCAGTAATCCCACTTCTGGGTATAGATCCAAAGGAAATTAAATCACTACCTTGAAGTGATATCTGTAGGCCCTAGTTCACTGTATCATTATTACCAATAGGCAAGTTATGGAAATAACTTCAGTGTCTGTTGATGGATGAATGGATATAGAAGATGGGGTATTTACATGCAATGGAGCCATAAAGAAGAAGAAAACCCTGTCATTTGTGACAACATAAATGAACCCATAGGGCATTGTGCTAAGTGAAATAAGCCAGACAGGGAGACACAAATACTGTGTGGTATCACTTACATGTGAAATTTCAAAAAAAAAAAGTCAGACACATAGAAACAGAATGGCAGGGGCAGAGGGGCAGGGAAAGGGGAGATGTTGGTCAAAGTGTACAAACTTTAAGTTATAATATGAGTAAGTCCTGAAGATAAAATGTACAGCTTAGTGACTGTAGTTAATACTGCACTGTATACTTGAAATTTGCTAAGAAAGTAGATCTTAGGTATTCTCACCACACACAAAAGAGAAAATGGTAGCTGTGAAATGAGAGGCATTAATTAACTTTATTGTGGTAATATCTCACAATGGACACATATATCAAATCACCACATTGTACGCTTATATATACAACTTTATTTGTCAATTATACATCAACAAAGCTTGGGGAAAATACAGGGGGAAATTGTGGCCTTGCATTTGACAATGGCTTCTTAAATATGACACCTAAGACACAGGCAGAAAAGAAAAAATACATAAATTGGACTTAAAAATTTTATGCATCAAAGACACTATCAAGATAGTGAAAAGATAATTCACAAGACTGGGAGTAAATATTTGTAGCTCGTTTACCTGATAAGGGTCTATTATGCAGAATGTACAAAGAACTCCTACAATTCAATAATCAGATTTGCATTTTAGGAAATCTTCAGTCTGCTGGAAGGAGGGGAATTGCATGGAGCCTGGAGTGCAGTGAAGAGGCAATCGCAGTGTTCTGGAGATGAGGTGGGGAGGTCTGCACCAAGACAGTGGCTGGGACTGGAAGGAGGGCCTGACAGGTTCAGGTGACGCTGAGGAGGTAGGTTCTGGCAGCTTGGGGACTACTAGGCTGTGTGAAGTTTTTGTTTCTGCATACTAGTGAGGCTGGGTGCCAGGATAGGATCTGTCTTTCAGGAAGGAAAAGGAGGGAGATTCCTATTCTTGCCTGAACAGAGTGGCTGTGCAGAGAGGAAGTGAAAGTGTCCGCCTACATAAATAAGCCATAGAGCAGTCCCAGCCCACATACGGACCCCAACTTGCCGCTCTCCACTGCACCCACAGCCCTGGCCGCACACTCAGCCCTCTACCACAGCAATGGCTCAGTCACTGGCCCTGAGTGTCTTTGTCCTGGTCCTGGCCTTCTGCACCCCCTGGACCCAAGGTATCAAGGAGGGAGTTGCCCAGGATGGGACAAGGGGCCTGAGAGGCCAGGGAGGGAGCCTACACATAGCTCCTGGCTCCCTGTGAACCCCACCCTGCAGGCAGTGATGGAGGCGCACAGGACTGTTGTCTCAAGTACAGCCTAAGGAAGATTCCTGCCCAGGTTGTGCGCAGCTACCGGAAGCAGGAGCCAAGCTTAGGCTGCCCCATCCCAGCTATCCTGTGAGTGGGTGCTAGGGGGTGGGTGCAGCTGAGTGGGGAGGGCATCGTGGGCAAGACTGGAACAGGCTTGCTAATGCCCAACCCCCAGGTTCTCACCTCGGAAGCGCTCTCAGGCAGAGCTATGTGCAGATCCTAAGAAGGCCTGGGTGCAGCAGCTGATGCAGCGTCTGGACAAGCCACCAGCCCCACGGAAACAAGTCCCAGGCTGTAAGAAGGAGAAGGGGACCCCCAAGTCTGGCAAGAAGAGGAAGGGCTCCAAAGGCTGTAAGAGGTGAGAAAGCTGAAGGGATGGAGGGAGGGAAGTGAAGGGGATCTTCAATCATCCCTCAAAGCTCTCATCTGCATTCCTAGGACTGAGCAACCAGACTCCCCAAAAGGGCCATAGCCCAGTGACCAGCCTGGAGCCCGGAGGCCCTCACCAGCCTCACCAGGGCTTGGAGCCCCAATCCAAGGGGCAAGAAGTAGGCTAGGGAAGAGCGGAGCCCCAGGAGCCCCAGAGTGGTCCCCTTATGTGGGCCCTGCCGCACCCCTTCTCCTGCTTTAACCATCCCTTCAGTATTCCCAGCCCTACCCTGCATGGCTGAGCTGCCCACACCAGGCCAGGCCGAAAGGCAGAGGTGGAGTCTCTCAGGGAGTGTGAGAGGAGGCAGCAGGACTGTCTCCACCAAGGAAGGACCAGCCAGCACCCTGGGCCTGACCCTGCTCCCCACTGCAGCCCCCTCTTCCTTATAAATATGACTTATACCTAACTGAATAAAAACCTACTCCAGCCTCCACCCAAGTATCTCCAAGGTATCAAGGAGGGAGTTGCCCAGGATGGGACAAGGGGCCTGAGAGGCCAGGGAGGGAGCCTACACATAGCTCCTGGCTCCCTGTGAACCCCACCCTGCAGGCAGTGATGGAGGCGCACAGGACTGTTGTCTCAAGTACAGCCTAAGGAAGATTCCTGCCCAGGTTGTGCGCAGCTACCGGAAGCAGGAGCCAAGCTTAGGCTGCCCCATCCCAGCTATCCTGTGAGTGGGTGCTAGGGGGTGGGTGCAGCTGAGTGGGGAGGGCATCGTGGGCAAGACTGGAACAGGCTTGCTAATGCCCAACCCCCAGGTTCTCACCTCGGAAGCGCTCTCAGGCAGAGCTATGTGCAGATCCTAAGAAGGCCTGGGTGCAGCAGCTGATGCAGCGTCTGGACAAGCCACCAGCCCCACGGAAACAAGTCCCAGGCTGTAAGAAGGAGAAGGGGACCCCCAAGTCTGGCAAGAAGAGGAAGGGCTCCAAAGGCTGTAAGAGGTGAGAAAGCTGAAGGGATGGAGGGAGGGAAGTGAAGGGGATCTTCAATCATCCCTCAAAGCTCTCATCTGCATTCCTAGGACTGAGCAACCAGACTCCCCAAAAGGGCCATAGCCCAGTGACCAGCCTGGAGCCCGGAGGCCCTCACCAGCCTCACCAGGGCTTGGAGCCCCAATCCAAGGGGCAAGAAGTAGGCTAGGGAAGAGCGGAGCCCCAGGAGCCCCAGAGTGGTCCCCTTATGTGGGCCCTGCCGCACCCCTTCTCCTGCTTTAACCATCCCTTCAGTATTCCCAGCCCTACCCTGCATGGCTGAGCTGCCCACACCAGGCCAGGCCGAAAGGCAGAGGTGGAGTCTCTCAGGGAGTGTGAGAGGAGGCAGCAGGACTGTCTCCACCAAGGAAGGACCAGCCAGCACCCTGGGCCTGACCCTGCTCCCCACTGCAGCCCCCTCTTCCTTATAAATATGACTTATACCTAACTGAATAAAAACCTACTCCAGCCTCCACCCAAGTATCTGTTCCTGTGTGTTTGAGTCCATGGGAAAGCCAGTGTCACTACAGAATGGGGTCACACTACAGAATTGGGGTCCCAGCCAAGAGCTCAGGCTGGCAAATTCTATATTCTCACCTACCCCAAGGGTTTCCTTGCCTCCAGGTGCCCAGACCTGTGGGCAGTAAAATGAGCTCCTCCTGGTCTCTGAGAAAAAAAGCCCTGCCAATGAAAAAGATAGTGGACCCCGAGCACGAGCCCTCTGGCAGCTTTGCAGGCCTCTGAGACCCTGCAGAGATCCTCTCCCTGATTATGTCCAGCATTCTCTTACTCCAGGAATGACCTCCAGATCTTTCCCCAGCTCTATCAGCAACTGCCTCCCCTTTCCTTAGGGCCTACTGAATGCGAACCTCCAAGTACCTTTGTGGGGATCCCCAGGAGAGTGACTAGAGCCTGAGCCCACCTGTAACACAGGCAAACACCAGTTCTGCTGAAACTTACCCTATGCACAGTTCCAGCCCAGAGCCACATCCCTTCCCAAAGACCCACAAGGACTCCCTCCTGCCCCAATCAATGAAGCTCAGTTTCTGGCCTCTCCTCCTTGTAAGAGGCTGTGTTCCTTCTGTTCCTGTCTGGACTTCTTGACTCCCTCAGCTTCCTTCAAGTTGGGAAGGCCTCTGCCCCTTCCCTTCTTTTCTCCTGTAGGGTACTTTAGCCCCTTTAAGCTCTGGAGACCACGGAATACCTCCTGTGGCAGGCATTTGGGAAGCCCAGAATTGAGATGTGAATCAATCTCCTCTCCAAAAAGACTCCAGCTTAGCTCTCCTCTACCCCTTCCTCCCCAAAGCAGAGGTCCTCCTACATCCCCCTTCACTCCCAGGCAGCAAGAGGAAGAACCATCAGATGGAGCCAGGACATGTGGGGAAGAAGGGAACAGATCCTGGGACAGGGGCAAGAAGCTAGAGGTGGCTGCCCCCACCACCTTTTCCTTCCACTGGAGCCTAAGCATGCTGCAGCACTTACCACTCATAAAGTCCTTACAGTACTGTATTTGCTGTCTGCTCCTCCTGAGGCCTGTGAAGGTAGAGGCTCCTCCCTCCCTATCCAAGTGCAGCAAGTGTGATCTTAGTCTACAAACTCAGATGTGCAATCACCACATCTTAAAATGTTCTTTCAATGAACTTAATTCCTCCTCCAAGCCCCTGCACAGGCATATCAGTGAGGAATTCAACACCAGACAGTCTTGGGGTCCCATCTGCCAAGGGCTGTGCAAAGGTCGTAGAAACATCAAGACACAGGGGAGGCTTCCTCCTTGCCCTCCACATTGTCCCATCACTGGACACCAGTCTCACCAGGGAATGTTATGGCCCTTGTGGTCCCAGCAGTATGACTCTTCACGGCCTGGACTCTCAAACTCTCAGCTCCTTGCCACATTTGAGACTTGGGAATTCAGCTGTGAGAGCCCCTCAGCTTGGACCTGGCTTCCCCAGACACGCCCCAGAGCCATCTACTCAGGTCCTGCTGCTCCCTTCGTCAAGCCAGGGATTAGAGGCCCCTGCCCAAACTGGCTAGACCTACAGGTCAGTCTCCTCCACAGGCTTAAAGAACTCTCTCCAAAAATCTCCTCTCCTCAGTCCCTCCAGGGCATAACCTCTTCCCAAGCTTACTTAAGACTTTTACACAGGCAGAAGGGCTTTGGACATCAAGATGCCTATACTCTCAGCCCTGCCAAAACCCTTGCTTATTGTAAAGAGAAAGGAAAAACATAGGCAGAACAAGACTTCATATTTCACTAAATTATCCTGCATGCCTAGTATTTGCCTAAGCCTGGCCCTGAGTAGGCATGCAATATATTATTTATTCCATCAGAGAATGAGTGGCCATTCTACTTGTCTGTCTCCATCTTTGACAATGTTGTTCTGTGCTTTCTTCTTTCTGTAAGATGCATAACTCAAAAAATATCAACTAATACATACTCACAGTTTTTAAAAATAGCAAAAAGCACCAAAAGGCTTACTCAGAACAACCATTTCCTGCAACTTTTAACTCTTAAGCTACTTCTTCTAGGAGTTAGTACTGTTCTAACTACTTTATTTCATACCTCAGTTGATTTGTCAATTTTAAACATTACTGACTTCTTGTAATAAAAAGTGGAATTTAGTTCTTAATCAACCCTTCTCTCCTGTCAACATATCCTCTAAATATAGTCATGCAACTATTTTAAGTCTTGATCAAAGTTAACATTATTATGGCCATGTAACTGTTCACTGTAAAGTAGTGTACTATGTTTATTTTTCTTTTGTCATTCAGCTTTTCGTTTTTCTTAAAAGTTCTAACTGCTATCCTTTTTTAAAATATCTCTATGTTGCCAGTAGTATAGCCTCAATATTTTTCAAATGCTTCATCATATTAGGTGGATTAAAGACCCAATGTTTAAAATACATATAACAGAAGAAAATGTAGGTGAGTGTGTTTATAACCTTGAGATAGAAAATAACTTAAACAAGACATAAAAACATAAAACACAAACCCTAAGGTAAAAGGTCAGCACCATTAAATTCAAAGACAAGTAGGAGTTCAGGATAAAGATGGAAAATTAAACATGCATTTATTTCGCTCCTTCCTGAGCTCCAACTACAACTACAGTAAATGTTTTTTTGTGTTTGTATGTGTGTGTAAAGGCATAAACCCACAAGGACCCAAATGGAAGAGGAGATAAAGGTAACTTTCCATAAGATTGCTGCTTAGACAAGTAAATATTTCCATAAAAGTAGGTGCAAAGCATAAAATAAATTATGAATTTAAAGGATTTTCAAAGCCTTGTGTATGCATACAGTAAAAGTAAATCTTTTCCTGAATACTAGTATGCCAGTGTTCAGTGGCTTTTACAAGAAATGTAAAAAGAAAGTGAGAAAAGAAAATTCAATGAAGACAATGGCTTTTACTAAAAATATAAAAAGAAAAGCAGAAAAAAAATTTTTAAAGATCAGTCATGCCCCAAATTTACAAAATCATCACTCCCCAAACATGAAAATTCACTGGCATCCTGAGTTTTTCCTTTTACACTGAAGCACTAAAGCATTTCATTGCTTTAAAATTGAGTCAACACTATCTTCTAACAATGTCACCTCCAGGGCCATCCGGAAAATTGCTAATCCCATGGTTTTGAATGACTTTACCACTCTCTCGTCCGTGAAATGATAGCACACCCTCTCATGAAATGGTGGGCCAGCTCCTTCTTGTCAGTGTTGCCTCAGAATCTGGAGTCTCCTGGTTCCCCCAGTTCACTCCTCTGTGAATCCTTTAAGGGCCTTTGATATGGATATAAGGGATGGATTGGCCTAGTAAGATCTCCCAGAATGACAGTTAATAGAAATGTCTTAACAGATGAACCTGAAACTAATTCCAAACTAAGCAATCAGATTTCTTAACACGCCCCCACCCCATGATACCCAGGCCACCCTTTGGCTAGCCACCATTCATTCCTTGCTCATCAGTCCAGCCTTTAGAAGGACATGATTGCCAATGACAGGTTCTGTCTTCTGATATCTTCCCTTTAAAAATTAAAAATGGGGCAGCATGGTGCTACCAGCACAGCACCACTGACACACTGAGCATCTTCTGCCTGCTTTATGGCACAGGAAGGTCAGAGGTTAATGGGTGTGTGCCTGCTATTTATGAAAGCTCAAAATCTATTTGTTTCCTAGTTTTAATCATTTACCTGTGGAAATGTCTTCAGCTTCATCGGGCCTCTTTGGTGATGTTCTTTTTCTTTCTCACATCCAGGTGTTATTTCTCCTTTTATTTTGGGACAAAGTGATGCTCTTCTGTTAAAATCAATGCTTCTGTCTTTTGGCATCAGATTTGACCAATAAGTGACCGTTTTTATGGATGCTGAAATTGCCAAGCCTCTTTTTCTAACGCCTATATTTGTCATTCTTCTAGTGGTGTCTACAGCTCCCCTTCGGAGATTGTGTCCGCTTCTGATCACCTGAGCAGCCGGCGCCA